CCACCACCACATAAGCATACTTCTTTCCACCAAGACTCTCTACCTGCATAGGTCCCATCAAGTCCATGTGAAGGAGTTCCAACACTTTTGAAGTAGTGAGATGTTTAATCTTCTGGTGTGACATCCTAGTTTGCTTTCCAATTTGGCATTCACCACATACCTTTCCTTCTTCAATATTTAGCTTAGGAGTTCCTATGACAACTTCCATAGAGATGATATTTTTTATCCCTTTTAGATGTAAATGACCAAGTTTTTGGTGCCACAGTTTCACTTCACCTTCTTTGGCTAGAGCACATATGGAGGTGTAACTAGAATCTTGAGGAACCCCATAGATAGTAGTTGTCCTTAGATCTGACTCCCTTCATAATCACTTTACTCTTCTCATTAGTAACCAAGCATTCAGATTTAGTGAAGTTGACATTGAATCCTTGATCACACAGTTGACTGATGCTAATCAAGTTAGAAGTCAACCTTTTAACCAGCAACACATTATCAAGGTTTGGAACTCCTGAGCAGTTCAACTTTCCAACCCCCTTGATTTCACCTTGGCTCCATCACCAAAAGTCACATAGCTAGTAGAATGCGATTTGATGTCTACTAAGAGATTTTTAATTCCTATCATGTGTCTGGAGCACCCACTGTCAAAATACCAATCCTCTTTAGCTGAGATTCTGAGAGACATATGGGCTATCAAACTGGTAGCAGCAACTCTAGGAACCCAATGCTTCATATTAGAAGGAATGTTTTGATTGGGTCTAGGTTGAGGAACAGGTTTACGATATCCATATAGCCTGAAGCAGAAAGGCTTTATATGACCAAAATGTCCACAGTAATGACATCTCCATATTTGGAATCTTCCTCTTGGGTGGTTGGGTTGTCCTCTGCCATGATATTGAGACATCTGATGTGACATATTTCGCTTAGGCCTAGAAGGAATGTGGTGTGAATATGGACTACAGTCTGAAGAGGGTTTCTTTTCTCCATCAAACCCTATCCCAGTCATGTCTCCTGCCTTTTTTCCAACCTGAAGGATTTCATCTAAAGTGTCAGTTCCACTGTTCAGCATTCTGACAGACTTGGACATTTGATCAAGTTGAGAACTCAACAATGTAACTTTATCATTCAACTCAGAGATAGTTTTAAGATGCTCTTCCTTTTCAGCCTTCAGTTTGATTATAAGTTTCTTCTGCTTCTCTCCTTGATGACATACTTTTTCACTTCTGAGACACAACTCTTTGTAAGAAGCTGCAAGTTCTTCAAAGGTTTATTCATCATCGTAGAGTCTTCATCAGAAACATACCTCCCAGTCAAAGCAGTCACATGTTTAACAGATTCTTCTTCAAGATCACTTTCAGAATCCTCATCAGTCCAAGATACAACTAGGCTTTTCTTTTGTTTCTTGAGGTAAGTAGGGCATTCAGCTCTAATGTGACAAAATACTTCACATCCATGGCACTGAATCCCTTTGCTTTGAGTGGACTTTTCTCCAGACCTTGTTCTTCTACCAACATCATTAGACCTGTTGATGTCATATGAGTTGTTATTGACATTTGGTATTGACTTCATGTCCATCCTCTTCATTACCTTGTTACACTGTCTTCCAAGGAGCACTATAACATTGGATAAGCTTTCATCAGTATCCACATCACATTCATCCTCTCCATCTTTAGTATTGGACACAAAGGATATGCTATTTTTCTTATCAAATATGTCATGTATCCATACTTCAAAGGTTAAGAGAAATCCAATAAGTTCATCCACCCCCATCTTGCTGATGTCTTGAGCTTCTTCTATGGCAGTTACTTTCATATCAAATCTCTTGGAAAGAGACTTGAGAATCTTTCTTACAAGCTTTTCTTCTGACATCTTTTCACCTAGGGCACTTGAAGCATTGGCTATTTCAAGGATATTCATATGAAAATCATGTATGCTTTCATCATCTTTCATCCTTAAGTTTTCAAATTTGGTAGTTAGCAATTGAAGTCTTGACATCTTCACCTTAGAAGTATCTTCATGAGTAGTTTTGAGTATCTCCCAAGCATCTTTGGAAACTTCACAATTTTCACCAATCTGAATATATTTCTATCAATTCCATTGAACAAGGCATTCAAGGCTTTAGAATTTCCAAGCGTCAATTCATCCTCATCCTTAGTCCATTCTTCCTTAGGCTTTAGGCCAGATGTAGCTTTTCCATCTTTCCCAACAGTGACAGGGTGCTCCCATCCTTTTATGACAGCTTTCCAAGCCTTACTATCCAATGATTTCAAGAAGGCCACCATGCGAGGTTTCCAATAATCATAATTGTTTTCATCTAGAACATGTGGTCTGTTCATAAATCCTTCCTCTTTGTCCATAGTACTAGAAAGTATCGTTCCTAGATCTCACCCAGAACCAGAGCAGGATGTCTGCTCTGATACCAATTGAAATTTTGGTATCAGATATGAGATGTCGAAAGAGATGTCACTACACTAATATTTGAACAATTACCAATGTATGAACAAGATAAAATGCAGTTAACAATTGTAAAGAGGCACAAGCAATTGTTAACCCAGTTCGGTGCAAACATACCTATGTTTGGAGGCTACCAAGCCAAGAAGAAAATCCACTAAACAAAATTACTTTGAAGACTCTCAGCAAACTCTCTCTAGTTTACAATCTCCGCACTTAATCTCTACTCGTGTAACTTCTATCTAAGAAACTCTCAGATATGAGACACCTCTCACTCTCCCTCAATCACATGCAGTGATAAAAACAGAAGATCAAAAAGTAGAAGACACACTTCAAGGACAACACTTGATCTTGCTTAAAAGCTTCAATCAAGAACAATGCATTCGTGCTTAAAAGCTTAGAGTGGACAACTTACAATTCAAAGAACTCAGTCCAATTCACACATCAAAGTGACGAATAAATGGCTCACAAGAAAATAACTAACAAAAGACTCAAACCCTAACAAAAGACAAAACGCAGCTTTCTCAAAATCTTCTTTCTTCCTTGCAAGTAGGGTTAACACGTCTTTAAATAGAAACCATTCTTCATGGGCTTGGGCAAAAGTAATCCATAATTAAAGCTAATTATTCTCCATATTTTTTTGCACAAAATAACAATAAACCATTCTTCAAAAGGAAACAGAATATACTTGCTTCAAATAATGTCACGCCTTGATTTGCGCAAGCAATCACTTAACAAAGGCACACAAAAGATTGCAGAAAAAATGCAACAGACAAAACATAACATTCTGACTGAATGTACTGTAAACATATGTCAGAACATCAAGCTTGACATCATGAAGTAAACCCTGCAACAACAAAAAGAATCACCTGCAGAATGTTAAGATCACATGTCAAGACATCATATAGGACATCTTGTGATAACACCAAGTTTTATCAAAATTGCTGCCAATCACATAACTAACAGTTAGGACATGACTATTTTGATTTTTTGAGTGTGATTTTTGAGTGTGTTCTGATGCACACGTGGGCGACTTTCATGGGAGTATATTGTGGGAATTTCTGTTATGGCAGATTCTGTTTGATCTCATAAAAAGGTTTCTTGAGCCTTTTTAAGAAAGTTTGTATTTTACTCCTATTATTGTGCAAATTGATTTGCAGCAAGTTAAAACTGATTGCTGCTATTTATGCGCCTTAAGAGCCCAAATCCATTAGATCTGAAGGCTATTTAAAGTGAAGACAAACCCTATTGATGTAGAAAGCATAACGTGTAGAATTTTGGAAATAAGAATTAGTTGTTGTTTTGGTTGATCTTTAGGGTTTAGTACTTGTTAATTGTATGTCACTCATGTATCTTCTGATGCATTCAGGTTGACTAATTGTTTATTGTCTACTCTAAAACTTTTAAGCAAAAGTGTATTATTCTTGATTGAAGCTTTTAAGCAAGATCAAGTATTGTCTTGGAAGTGTGCTACTTCTATTGTTTGTTATTGTTGAATTGTCACTGAGATTGTGACTGATTAGGAAGTGAGAGGGGGATCTCATATCTAGATGGTGTCTAGGTAGAAGTTGCACAAGATAGGGTTTAAGCGAGAAGTTGTAAACGGGAGAGTTTAGCTTTGAATTAATATTATCATAGTGGATTTTCTAGCTCGCTTGGTAGCCCCCAAATATAAGTGAGTTGCACCGAACTGGGTTAATAATTCTGGTGTTATTTTTACATTTTTGTCATTTATTTTTCTGCATCTTTACTTGTTTGATCAAGCTGTTGTTAATCCTGGTGTTGTGACATCTGTCTCGACATCTGATATCTGGTGCCAGAATTTTACATTGTAAAATACTTAAAGTGAATGCAGTTGCATATTTGAATAAAATATCAGTGCAAAAAGCAGATGAGTTTCTCTGCATAATTCTTCTTCTTCCCCTTTTCTCCAAAAAACCATAATCTCCATTTCTTCCCTAAATTCATCTTTTCTTTTCTCCTTTAATAATCATTGTGCAGTGAAATCATCTTACAGTCAAAATGTGATTGATTCACTTGAATGAAGAGTGAAGAATAAAAAGCATAATCGATCAAAAGAATTAATTTTTGTTCATCAAAATTGATTCAGAATTTTTCATAAATTTTGTGTAATTCCAACAATCATGTTAAATTTATTCTCTCACAATATTTTGCATTTCTCTAATCTATAGATAATCTATTTCCTCACAGCATAACTCTAACAATAACATTCTTAACTATTTCCATTAAGTCTCGATAGAGTCTAAAAGTTTCCTCACCTAAGTAGATTGAGTAATATTTGACTAACTAATATTCAACTGTTTTGTAAACGTCTAATTTTTCTTTTTCTTGAACTAAACGCAATTTCATTATATCTTAAATTCAATTGCTTGTTGATTTTGACTGATAATTATCTCACAGTCCCATTAACAAAAGTGCACTGCACATAACTATGCCATTATAGCCTATATATATATATATAGTTATAACAATAACTCTCTACATGCAAAAACACAATAACAAAAAACATACCTAATTACATGTTAGTTTTTCTACACAATATAAACCATCCCAACTTCCAACAAAGAAACTGGTGGAACCTTAAGTGCCACATCAGGTCCTCTACAATTCCTTCTCAAGAAATTGTATCCATAGTTAAGTGCCAACTTCTTCAACAGTGATGAACCTTGCTTTGTTTTCACATAAGAATGTCCAAGAATGAAAGCAATACCAGCTTCTTGTGCAGCATAAAGATCTTCAAGCTCTTCCTGCATTTGCACACCAGCCTCAGACCTTGTCTCACTTTCATGATCATTGTCAACAGCAAACCTCACTCGTCTTTCGTTTGCGTCCATCGGTTCCATCTCGATTACGTCTGTCACGCTTTGTACAGATGGGAATCCAGACGCGCTCCCGGGTTGGACACTCTGCTGACTCTCGTATCCTTGTTGGCTGCAGAAACTAGTTGTTCCGATTACGGTTAGTCTGTAACTTGATGATTCGTTTGAGTGTGAACCGTCGTCTTCAATGCTCATGCTGTTCGCACGAGTTCGATACCAATCGTATTGGATGAAATCAGAGAGCTTTTGTACTAGTTCGGATTCGAATGAATCAACGTCCTGATGAACATCGCGATATCCGTATCTGACTATACATCTATATGATCGATGAGCAGCGGGTCCTACGCGGCCGACAAGGTATCTCTCTGCAGGGGTGACATGAGGTACTGGTACTGATTTTACACATACGAAAACAAGGACGCGGTGATATGCAGGGAGGTTTGTGACAAAGCGGGAGAAGTTAGCCGGAATGCCAGTGGTGAGATCAGTGAACACAAGGCCTATTCCAGGGACTCTAGCAATTCCTAAGCTTGGACCTAAAGCTAGAAGCCAATCCAGTGAGACCTTGTTGTGAAGGTCGTATTCGTATTTCTTGATCGTTGCGTAGTGCCAAAGGAACATTATAATCATTAGGAAGAGGGCGAGGAGGATTGGGAGCCAGGCACCCTCGCGAAACTTTGTCAGTGAAGCCGAGAAATATAGCAGTTCAATGGAGCCAAAAAACAATAGGAAACAAAAGGCTAAAATCGGCGGTTTATTCCAGCAAACTACAATAACTAATGAAGTTAGGCACGTTGTTACCAACATCACGGTCATCACTGCTAACCCTGCATCAAAAAAATGTTGAATTTACGTGTCACTATAATTACGATTATCTGGTTTGTCATTCAATCAAGCATAAATTGTAACATACCTGACGCATTTCCCATGTGTTTTGTGTCTCTAAACCCAATGGTAACAGCAATGCAGAGGATCATGAGCATCCAATTGATTTCTGGGATGTAGACCTGACCATGTATCTTGTCGGATGTATGAACAACCTTAACTCGTGGGAAGCAGCCGAGAGATTGACTCTGGTTTATGATTGAAAATGTTCCGCTGATGATTGCCTGGCTCCCCACAACAGAAGCTAGAATAGCTAATATAAGCACAGGCCACCTCACATTTTCTGCAGCCAAAATTTTTTGTAATGCTTATGTATACTACTAGTTAGTAATTTCTTATAAATGTGATCTGTGGCGATGAATACCTGGTACCGAGACGTAGTAGCTGATTTGGAGATCAGAATTATGATGTTGTGACAAGTAAGCAGCTTGACCCATATATGCCAATATAAGTGCAGGATATACCAGAAAAGTGAATGCAATCTGCATACAACAAATTGTTAAGCAGAAACCGAGAACTTTTCACACTTAAGCGACATTTTCCTTAGGTCTATTAACAGAAAATAGGAAACAGTAAATGAGAATATTTTAACCAACCTGAATGGCCATATAATTGAAATGACCAAGATCAGCAAACATAGCTTCTGAGCCTGTTCATAAGGTCTATACATAAGAAGTACGCCATAAAGTAAATTTTACAATGCTACATGTAAAACTCGAAACCATCAATTGGCTGGCATAATATCTTACTTTGTCGTAGTGAAAGTATATTAAATTTGACACTTTTAGGGAAATAATATGATAAAGGAGCAGTCCAGAATTTGTTCAAAAGTAAATATTCACAGAATTTATTCCATGTCTTAATATCTTAATAAAATCATAGTTTTGACTCTGAGGTTTCTCAAAAGATGCCTCGAATATATTAGACTTGCGTTTTCCAACAGCGCAAAATATGCATATTTGTACATAGATACATGTTTGGGATTAAAAGGATAAATAAGAAAAAACACAAGACATTATTCTTTATGTTACCTGTTATGCAAAGTAATATTCCACCCAAAGACAGCCATCCACTTATCTTTGTCTTTTTCAAGAACTTGAACATATAATACGGCGAAAGAGCTTTATATACATGAGGATTCCATTTGAATATATTATAGAAGCCAAGTGTGCTAATGCACAGTAACCATGTCAGCACAATTGGTGCAAAAAAGAACCCCACCTTATGTGTACCATAGTGTTGAAGTGCAAACAAACACACCAGTATGAAGCAAGTGATCGGAATCACAGCATCTGCAAACACAAATCAATAGGTTCGAAATTCAAAAACCAATGAAACAATGAAGAATCCTGAGAATGCTATAAGTGAAACTTACACTGATGGTGTTTCTTGGACATGATGGATACCTCAAGACCGGATACCGCTGAGAAAACTACATGAATGAAAAGCTAGTCAAAAAATCGATATGAAAATAGTTATAAAACAATGTTTTCTTTTTCTTAACCCTCCGATTCTCAAGAAATTGGCCTTGGTAATCCAGAGTTCGGCCATATATTGTTCCAAATACGTACGATTCAAACTAGATTACTCCCGATCGATTCAACCTTAACTGAAAATCATCAACCAGTTGAACCTAATCAAGTAGCTATTTATAAAAATTGCGAAACAAGGAGGATAGGATTGTTACCAGAAATGGCAGGTGTAAGCACTCCATCCCCAATTACCATACAAGTGCCAAGAAGAACCACAATCAGCAAAGCCGTATGCAGAGTCTTATACTTCTCAAGTAAAATCTTCACTTTAGAATTATCTTTCTCTGGAGGCTCCTCCATCTTATATGAAGAAAGTGCTTCATCAGCATGCTGTCTATTTGGTATAAGACTCACTTTAGCATGCCTACAAATCAATGAATAGAGAGCAAAAGTACCACCTGCAGAACCATACGCACATGAAAATCATCATAAAAGATGAAAAGGAAGATGAAAAGAAAATTCAAATTACTTACCCTCTCCATTATCATCAGCTCTAAGAACAACAAACACATATTTGAAGAGTGGAATCAATGTAAGAGTCCAGAAAACAAAAGAAAGAGTGCCATAAATCTCTTCATTAGTCTCTGAATGTTCAATATCCTCAGCAAAAGTGCTTGTAAAAACATACAATGGAGAAATACTCAAGTCTCCATAAACAACACCAAGACTTTGGTAAGCCAATACCATAATAGCCTTCCAAGAACCCTTCTGAAATTCAAATTTTACCCACAACTTACTCAACAAAACATCAGAAAGATGAAATCTCTACAAACTTCTCAAGTTAATACACTACTAACCTTTGAGCTGTCCCAACACTTTCCAGGTTCAAGATCCATACCTCAATGTTCTTCACACAAAGTGTACCAGTCTATTATCAGATCTGAACTCAGCAACAACAAAAACAACAACTTCAATGAAACACAATGAAGAAATCTAAGACCAAACAACTACAGCCACTCAATACTAATCTGTTTTCTGTATGTGTCAAATATCAAAAGCCAGTAAAGAATAGAAAACAAAAACATTCACTCTCTTTTGGATAAATATGAAACTCACTCACATCACATGGTTTCCATATCTCTGTCAAATCTTGAAAAGTGGGCACGCATTATTTCTTTTCCCAAATATTAAGGAACAAACATGATAAATAAACCATATGAACAGTACTCTTAATATAGCATTTCACATATTACACTAATATACTACAATATAAAAACAATATAAATTCTTTAATATATACTATAGTATATAAATGATATTCTAGAAAGAACTACTACTATATACGAAAAAGTAAAAGCACTGAGAAGAATGTATGGATATGGAATACTGGTTGTAAAGCACTGTGGCAATATAACATTATTTAATAATTTACCGTCCAGAAAACAAAGGGATGAGTATTTGATGGAAAGTCCAAGACGAATGTGTTAGGAGAATGATAAAGAAATGAGCTAAAATCACGTTCAACTAGTTGTTATCAAAAAACAAGAGAAATGTCCCATGATGTTGACATAACGTGTAGTAATCACGTGATTTAGCAACACTTAAAAATTCATCTGTCACTATACCTTGCGCCTGCACAATCTAATATGAAAATTTTGAGGATTAGTTATCATTCACACTTTGCCTTGTTATGAACTTTATCATTGGATATTTTTGTCATTTTATTTGGTTATGATTTGTTTACATATTGCATGCATAACTGTGGTACTAGCTATAATAATAATTAATCAAACTTTCAAAGTTCCCCACTCACTCACTCACCTAACTTTTGGAATTCTTTTGCTATTTATTGGCCGTTTCTATATATTAAAAAAGCAGATGAAAACCGAATTAATACATCAAATCAATGAGTTGAAACGATGTGTACAAAGTAGGTGAGCCATAAAAATGATAATAATTTGGAAGTAAGAGTAAATTTTGGTGATGATGGAATGGAGCATGGAATAGTATGAGCTACCTAAAAAGCAAGAGGCATGTGCATCACTATAAATGTAATTTGGAAATGGTTATAACTAACACCTGAACAACTCAACGTGCTCTCATGGTCACATTAAAGCATGGCCCCTCTTTCTTTCTATCAAGGACGAAAAGAAAAGGATATATCAATGCCAACTTGCTAATCCAAGCCTTTCTACTTTTTATGTTTGGCAGGCTCCACTTTCCACTTTATAGATTAAGAGCTAATAGTTATAGGATTATATCATCAATATAACATATTTAGGAATTTTTTTATGGGTATTTAGAAAGTTATTTAAGCTCGGATTTATATTATTTTTTTGGTAATTTAAATTTTTTTATGTGCTCGATCAAAAATTCAATAGAAGAATGTTAAGCTCTGATCCATATTTGAGCCACTTTAATTAATTTTCATATATAAAAGGTTTATACGTGTGATTCAAATTCATTCTTATCACATTTTATTTTTCATTCTTTTGTTGACTTATGCGTTGAATTGTTAAACTTATCGGTCAACCCTATCTCCGTCATACCAAAAGTTTACACCACTTTGTCAAGGTTATATTTCATCGTTCATGAAACAATTCTAGTCCACACCAGAAAAATGTTGTCGTATGCGGGAATCGACTCTTGATTCTTGCGAGTCTCTGCAAGTAGATCCATTTGGTTCAACTCACAATCGTTGTATCGCTCATGCTAAGATGAAGAACGCATCCCTAGATCATGTTTCTCATAGTACTTTTTATCCTTCTAACACCGTGTCATCCCTGATCGTCGCCATCGATTCGGTCAACTAGAGGCAGCTTGACGATAATGAACCTCTGTCATAGAGCAATATGAAGATCTAGAAGTGACTAAAAGATAAACCAATGTTAGGGTTTTTAGACCACGAGAAGGTGGACAAAACTAACACAACATTTTCCCTGATTATAACCACCACCATAGCCAATCATTCAACGACTCCTTAGCCCATCAATGTGGAATAATAAATCTACCAGTTTCTTTGGGCAAATGGAAGGATAAGAGGATTGCAAACATGAGTTTTTTTGTGATCCCTTATGAAAGCGTCTACATCAACATTCTTGGAAGATCATTCCTATTAACGTTGGGCGCTGTAAACTCTCCAGTTCATTTGAAGATGAAACACCTTAATGATGTGGGTAAACCAATCTTCGTTTAAGTCGATATGTGTGGGACTCATCTTATATACGAGGCAACACTAAGGAAGGGAAATGCAAACAAACTAACCAACATAATCAATCTCAATGTGCGGGAAGACGAAACTCTGCTGGACTATAAGCTAAGAATATCAACCGGGGGCAAGATGAAGACCTTGAGACCGGCCCCGACAAAGAGTTTGAAGTTGTCCAGCTCGATGATAACCTAACTCGATTAGTTTGAATATGAATTAATTTTTCAACTAGATAAGTGAAGGGCTCGTTGAGTGCTTGAAGGCCAATGTAGATATATTCACAGTTTCTCCCGACATGGTTATTGGAACAGATTCAAGTGAAGAATGTCATCGGTTAAATGTTAATCCTTGTTCCTAGCATGTGTCCCAACGTAGGAGGCAACAATCACCTGAGAAAGCTGAAGCAACCAAAAAAATGTTTAGTGTTTACTCAACGTTAACTTTATCTTTGAATTTAAATATTCTTAATGGCTTTCTAACATCATGTTGGTAAAGTAGTCTTTGAGAAAGTGAAGGATGTATGTTGATTACACAGATCTCAATAGAGTATGCCCCAAAGACTTATACCATTTTTTAAATGTATACAAGTCGACGAACAATTCACACACGCACACGCGCGCGTGCACACACACACACACACACACATACTCACACACACATATATCTATTTATCTATCTATCTATCTATATATATATATATATATATATATATATATATATATATATATATATATATATATATATATATATATATATATATATATATATATATATATATATATATATATATATATATATATATATATATATGCTTTTATCGTTCATGGACGCTTATTCTAGATACAACTGAATTCCCATGTATGAGCTAAATATGGAGAAAATAGCCTTCATGATCAACCAAGCCAACTAATAGTACAACATAATGCATTTTAGCATGAAAAATGAAAGGGAGATGTATTGGGGGATGATGAACAAGGTCTTCAAAGAAGATATCAACAAAGTGTGGGAAATGTACATGGACGATTTAATCATCAAGTTTGACAAAGAAGAACTACACAATGAACATCTCTATTGTGTGTTCCAAAGAGTTTGACCATACAACATGAGGTTTAAATTTGAAGAAGTGTACCTTAAGAGTCATAGCTGGAAATGTTTTGTGTTTTTATTTGATTGAGAGAAATATATAGGCAAATCCAGACAAATGTGAATCAGTTATCCAAATGATGGCACCAACCACAAAGAAATAGGTTACGAGACTTAATGTAATGCTAATAGTTTTCAACAGGTTCATATCAAAGTTGGCCCAACCTTCTCTACCATTATACAAACTATTGAAAGAAGAACACACTTCAAATGGACCCTAGAATGCGAGCAAGTGTCGCTACTGCGAAAAAAAGTGTCGGCAATGACAGAAGAGTTGCCACCGTTCGTTATTTATCCCAACGAGAGAAAGGAAACGATCAGGGAAAACCCGAAAAGGGAATAAGATTGGTCATCGCAACCAAATATCGGGTTCGGGAGTCGGTTACGCAAAGGGAAGGTATTAGCACCCCCCACGTCCGTCGTACTCGATGAGATCCACGCTTAGTTGTCTATCTTAAAGGGTGATTGAAACTATTTACGCTAAAGGTCTAGGATAAAAGAAAAGAAAATAGACTCGACAGAGCATCGCCGTTCTGGGCCTATGTATCCCCTCGTGCAATGGGAAAGTCAGAGTCAACGTAGTTCGGGAAACTATGGATGAAAGGGGGGAAAGGTTGCTCGCCAAGATATTGTCGTCTTGTGCCTACGTACTCTCAACAGGTATGAGAGATCAGAGCAAACGTAGTTCGGGAAAATAAGAACACCGGTTAGTTCAAATGTTTTTACCCGAGTAGGATTAACAAGCAGTTCTAGCAGTTAGGTGTATGCAGCTCGACCATTAGAGACTTAGGCGTTACCTGTTTGCGGTAGAACTAAGAGTTAACAACACTCTTGTTTATGAAAATGTTTTCCATTGTTAAAGGGTCCAAAGGGACAAAATGAGTTTGATCATTTGTTTTTGAAGTCTTTTAGGGAGAAGTGTTTTTGAATTGTTTTTAATTCATATTGCACTAAAGACTATGGCCTAGGAGCGAATGCGTCGCACATCACCCAAAGGGTGATACACTAAACACTCTAGGCCATTAAGAGGAAACCCCTAAATCACCATTTCCTAAGTACTTAAGGCTCGTAACGTACAATATTCATTAGCCTTTATTAAGTATTTTGAAGTTGTTTTGAGATGAGAAAGAGAAAGGACACAACTAAGGGGAACTAGACTCAAACCCTAGAGTTGGCATGCAAAGTACACCTATAGTTAGGATTGAAAGGGAACTACCTATTATTCTCATACATGGATTAAAACCTAGTGTCTATCACAACCATCCTTAAACAAGGAGATTGGAAGTCCTAAGGGAGCATGGTAATGAAAAGAGAAGAAGGAAACAACATGAAATAAAGTCATGAAATAAGAATGAATGAATGCATATGCAATGCAACACACAAGCAAAGGGAGGAAGTAGTGTGGGGTGAACACCTCCACAAGCATATCTCAACCTTTATTAATGCAAGTAGAGAATGCAAAAAAGGGAAAATAACACACAAGTAAAGGGAGGAAATAGTGTGGGGTGAACACCTCCACAAGCTCATCTCAACCTTTAATGCAAG